CCTTTCACTTACTTACTTAGCAAATATTATTGAGTACCTACTATGAGCCACATACTGAAAGCATTAAAAGTAGAATAGTAAATAAAACAGAACAGCTTCCTGCCTTCATGGAGGTTAACATCACACAGTGGTGAGGTATAAATAAAAATAATGACTATACAAATAATTACAATGATAAAAAGTGCTAGCAAAAACAGGAAGATGTCAACGAGGGACCTCACTTGGTCTGTGATATCAAAATCTTCCTTGATTTAAGCTGAGAAGGAAGAGTAGATATCATCTGGAGAGGAGGGGCAGGGGAGATATACCGCACATGGCACACTTAAGGACTTAAAAGCAGAACAGTGTAAATGAAGCCTTAAAAACAAGCAGGAGAGTGGCTTGAGAAGTCAGGAAGTGGTCTTAGGATTTTTTATGGCCTGGTACTCTAGCCTAAGAACTGTAGAGAGCCACTAAAGAATTTCAGAGTGAAGGACTGATGTGATCAGGTTTGTATATTTTACAAGTAAAGATGCCTTTATTTCACTTGTGGAGGGAACAAAAATAGATACTGGAAAATCCTAAGGAACAACAATATGTAAATGATAAGCAGAGGAAAGGGGACTAGTGCATACCTCACTGAGAAAGACGGTGGACATAAAGCAAAACACAGTCGTCCACAGTGCCAGATACCCATCAGAGCTCAAGAAGTAACGAACTCCAGGGCGCCTGGGTGGCTCAGTTGGTTAAGCGACTGCCTTCCGTTCAGGTCATGATCCTGGAGTCCCAGGATCGAGTCCCGTATCGGGCTCCCTGCTCAGCGGGGAGTCTGCTTCTCCCTCGGACCCTCTTCCCTCTCGTGCTATCTCTCATTCTCTCTCTCAAATAAATAAAATCTTTAAAAAAAAAAAAAAAAAGAAGAAGAAGTAACGAACTCCATTGCTTGAACAACATCAGGGTTTTTGGTATTCCTACCCAGAGCAGTTTCAGTGGTGTGCTGATGGCAGAACAGAGGAAAGGTCATAGATAATCGAAAAATAAATAGGTAATGAGGAAGTAGAGACAAGTATTGACAATCCTTTGAAGAGTTGTAGCCTTGAAAAAAGAATGGATGGTAGTTACAAATGGGCACATAGCCAGTGAAAGTTTTTAATGGTGGGAGATATAGTAAAAGGTTTTAAATTATGACAGGAAGGAGTCCATAAAAGTGACCGATAAAGTTGAAGATAGAGGAATGAGAAGATATATGCTAGATTCGGGCCTGTAGTCAGTCTAGAGAGAAAGGTCTGATTCCAGGGAAGAAATACTTCTTAAAGCAAGTCTCTGGGCCAAGAATACCCCCCAGAGATGCTATTTCATTATGTCTGGGATAGGACCAGTGAATCTCCTTTTCAGCAAATGGCATGATTCAAGTGATCTTCAGACCACACTATGACAAACACTGCTCTTTTTTCTATTTTTCCATTATATTAAGCCATTCCTGTCTTCATTTCCTTACCCATCCATCCAGTCCAGAACCTAAGGTCTCCTGATTCATAGTCTAGTGTTTTATAAGGTAAGAAAGACTTCAAAAGTGCTGTGGTACTGGAAGTAGGTGACTGAAATAGAATGAAGGTGAAAATCATTGGCATTGAGGAAGTTAAGGAGATGAGAGGCTCTGATAGTTGCTCTGAATTCCTGCTTGCATCAGAATCACTTGTGAGGTACTTAAAAAAATGTGTAGATGCCAGACTTCATCTCAACAGATTCTGGTTTAGTAGCTCTTGGGTGGAGCCTGGACATGTATACATTTACAGATGTATAATTTAAAATCTGGGCTGAGTTTAATGCATGGCCCCGATTGAGAACTACTACAGAAGTTTTCTACATGGTCAATAAAGTTCACTCAGATTTTTGGAAGAGCTTGGAGGGAAGGGTGTTGGGTTTTTTATTGTTATGTTAATCACCATACATTACATCATTAGTTCTTGATGTAGTGTTCCATGATTCATTGTTTGTGCATAACACCCAGTGCTCCATGCAGAATGTGCCCTCTTTAATACCCATCCCCCCACCCCCTCCCCTCTAGAACCCTCAGTTTGTTTTTCAGAGTCCATCGTCTCTCATGGTTCGTCTTGGAGGGAAGGGTGTTAAGTCCAAAGTCATTTTTCATCTGAATTGATTATAATTCTAGTATTCCTTAGGCAGTCAAGGGAATTTGTTACTTTCCAAGCCATCATGGTTACTTATTTGAAAAAGCCTGTGGTAATCCTACAGGCTTCTCTGGAAAAGTCTATGTGTGTATTGTATGAAAAATTACACACAGTTTGGGGGTGGGGACTGGTTGGTTTTGGGCGGTTTTGTGTATGTACCTTTCCAATACAGGAATTAAAAGGGAAATTATGAGAAGAAAGGAGATCAGATAAAAAAAAAATGGTAGAGGGGTGCCTGAGTGGCTCAGCCGGTTAAGCGTCTGCCTTCAGCTCAGGTCAAAATGTCAGGGTCACCTAGAGATCCGTGTCAGGGTCACCTAGAGATCCGTATCAGGCTCCCTGCTCAGCGGGGAGTCTTCTCCCTCTGACTCTGTCGCTCCCCCTGCTTGTGCTCTCTCACTGTCCCTCAAATAAATAAATAAAATCTTTAAAAAAAAATGGTAGAGAACAAGTACTAGGAAGAACTTCAGAGTATACTAGAAGGAACCTAGGGCTGTGAACCAGGAGATCTTCAGTTTTAGAATCCTTCACTAAACCAAAAAACAGAACTAAATCATTGTTTACAAAGGTGTGTTCTTTGGAACCCTAGTCCCATCAGATGCCATAAAAAATTCTCAAATAACAAAATTTGCATAGAATATATATTTGACACAGTCCTCATCTCCTTGGGTTCACACATATGTAGGAGAAACCCTGTTCTGCCTAACTTGATAAATGCAGGGTTTTTTTGGTTGTGAATAGGTGGTTTTGAGGTGATTGGGTTTGAAACGTCAGAGCATTCACATAGATTCTGTCTGGCTCTTTAGAGAGTAGGACCTTTTTAGACCTTTGCTTGGTGAAATAGGACCTGCTTCTTAAAGTGCTTCTAAATTACTCCTGAAAGGTCTGTTTCTTAGTCAACTGGTTGTAAAATTTTGGATTCATGCCATATCTTGAGCAGTGAATGGCTTCCTCATCTAATAGGACAATTCCACTGGAACTGTGATTTTCTCTTTTTAAAAAAATTCCTTCTCAGGAATGACTTCATTATTCAGTGCCATTACTAACTTTGGAGAGAAATTTTTCAGACCAAGCTTTGTGAACAGAAAAAGAATGTGTTCTCCCATGTTTATTAGCAGTTCACTACATTTTACTCTCGTTAATTTTGGTGAAAGTCTTTCTGAAAATCTTTCACTAAGGAAGGACCACATTTTTTTTTTTTTTTCTCAGAAGGTGGGTAAGAACTGAGGCTAAAGTTTATTGTGGCTGATGGATCTGTACATCTCTGCTTTTTGTAATGTGTGAATCTGAGAAATTCTTTAAAAATGCTTTCTGACTGTTTTTAAAGAATTCTATACTGTAGCATGCCCCGTCTTCATGAATGGGTAGCTTATATGTTTCTTTACAGACTCTCTAGGTCCCGAGGTGACTGAGGCTGCTGGATTTCTTTTGTTGACTGGTGCATCTCATCACAGGTGCTCAATCTGGATATTGTATCTTACAAGATCCCTGCCAGGAGAGAGATTCGAATATCATAGTGAAGTCTGTACATGAAGGATTGATGCCTTTAGGGGAAAAAAAGTAATAGCCACCTTCAGGAACCGCCACATCTCAACTCTGCATGAACAAAGCAAGATTCTGAGAGTGGCTGCACCTGAGAAGCAGAAATCATTCTTGTGGATTGCCATTGGCTCCTGAGGCTCTCATCAGAGATGAGGCACCTTTAATACCTGAGAGTGACTATTCTCCATAAGGCACTGGAAAATCAGCTTTCAGGGACTGACAAGGACACTGAAGCTGTTAGTAATAGTGTACCTACTGATGTCCCTCTAGAAGAGAGCAAAGCTTTGGTGATATTACAACTTAAGAACTGCAAAGAGGTGTAGTAATCCTGATGGAGGACTGAATCCAGGTACTCAAAAAAGAAGGTAAACATTCTGAAAAATGAGAAGAGTGAAATCTCCATTGTGTATTAGATCATCTTAAAAAGAGTAAAGGAAAGATCTCTGGAGTTTGAGTGTGGGGATGAATTTATCCTCTTAAAGAATAAGATTAGTCTCTCAACATGTTTTCTGTATCAGTTCATCTCAGTGGTTCTCATTTCCTACTTAGAATCACTTGGAGACTTTAGAATTTAAAATGCTGTTTCCCAGGCCCACCCCAGACCAATTTGTATAATACTGGATTTATTCAAATCTCTCAGCTAGATGGGTGATGGGTATTAAGGAGGGCACTTGTTATGATGAGCACTGGGTGTTGTATGTAAGTCATGAATCATTGAGTTCCCCTCCTGAAACCAATATCCCACTATATGTTAACTAAGTAGAATTTAAATAAAAATTAAAAAAAAAATCTCTGGGAATAGGGGCTGAGCATTGGCATTTAAAAAAAAAAATTCCCCAGGTTGGGGCACCTGGGTGGTTCAGTCGTTAGGCATCTGCCTTCGGGTCAGGTCATGATCCCAGGGTCCTGGGATCGAGCCCCGCATCGGGCTCCCTGCACAGCGGGAGGCCTGCCTCTCCCTCTCTCACTCCCCTTGCTTGTGTTCCTTCTCTCACTGTGTCTCTCTCTGTCAAATAAATAAATAAAATCTTAAAAAAAAAAAAATCCCCAGGTTGTGTAGTCAGGGCTAAAAACCACTGAGCTTTCTTGAGCTTCCTATATGCCACGATAAGAGAAAGAGAAAATCTGACATTGAATTCCTCAATAAATTATCCAGCCTTTAAGCTTATGTCCTAAAGGGCTTCTCTCTAAACTATCTGCCATTCTAACAGGAAGCAAAAATTCCAAGAGTTAGTTTCAGCATTATTACCATGTATTTACCAGATGCTTCTTTTTTCTTTTTCCCAGTTATGCCCTCTCACAATGCTATACTTTCCCAAGGGGGGAACATGGAGGAGAAAGAAATGAGTGATGGATCACAGATAGTCAGGTCTCAGGTAAGTTCAGTTTTACTCTCCTCTGAAATGCTGTTATAGTTCTAAGAATATGGGTACTTCTATTTTTCAATTCTCAGAAGTGAATCCAGAGCCCTTTAGACTCTTGGGACAGATAATTTCTATAGGATGCTTCCCATTCACCTTATATACCCTGTATAGCTCTTCTCTCCTTCCAGCATTTTTAGCAGATCATGGGCTCATGTCTGGGCTAGATATTGTATAAGAAACAAAAGAAACTATAGACTATCTTTTAATCACCCATCACTTAAACAACTCACCAGACTTTAACACACTTGCTGTTCTCTCTGTAAACAATCAGTGATGCCCAGGTCACAATGACTGCTTGGAGCTAATGGCATTATTAAATATGCCTGAGGACATCTGCCAGGAGTTAATATTTATCAAGAATCTGTTGTACTTCTTGCAAAACCTGTTTAAGCCTATTGTTACTGTTCTATAATTTGATTAAGTATTATGTAAACTGATGAGGTAGAACTATGACAAGGAGTTTTTTTTGTGAAAACTAGTTGAAAGCTTTGGAAAGACCTTATAAATGCCAGTCACTTTTTAAAAAATTGCTATCAAATTATGTGTTAGCAAACTGTAACACACTGAAGGAAAATCATAAAAATCTTAGAGTATTCTACACCTATATTAGTTCCCAAGTGTCCCTTGTTTGTTGCATTTTAATGAAACAGAAACTGATGCATTATGGGTATGGACACGTGATCATTAAAATCACTCTCAGAAAACGTTTCGTTTCACATCAGAAGATGAGCACATGAATATACAATTATATATTTCAAATTAAAATGTTTAAGATATCTTCTGTGGATCTCAACTTTAACTAGCTTTTTAGCTTAACACACCAGATACTAGTATCAATTGCTTCAAATAGGAGGACTTCTCTTGTTCCAAATTATATGAGATAAACATTATCTGTAGGTATTCAATAAACTCATCAGAGGAGATTTTTACACACCTAAACCACACATTTAAAAAAGTGTAATGTTGGATTGCTACTAAGAATACAAAATACAACAAATACAAGAGGTACTCAGAGAAAGGAGAAATTTTACTGAGACTAGAAGGATGAGGGTAGACTTCATAAAGAAGGTGGAGTTTGAATTTGTGCTGATACTGGTTAGATTTGAAGATTAAAGAAGACAGGGCCATTGCAGACAGGAAATAAAATTTATGCAAAAGCAGGGACAATAAGGAGACTGTCAGCTCAAGCTGAGCATTTATTTGGAATGTTACTGCTTGGGATCTTTGGGTTGCAGGGAAGATTTATTCAGTTTACTCTTAATTATAAGCCTCCCCACAGACAGGACTAGAAAGACTTCAAAAACTAAAGTGCTATATCTGCTTCTTGGCATTCTAGCCAAAGGAGTTTAATTCTCCAGAACGACTTATTATGTTAAGAAAGAAGATGGTTCATTCAACAAGTATTTTTTGAGCAGCTACAATGTGCCAGAAATTGTTCTTGGCATCAAATATACATCAGTAAGCAAAATAGGTATTCCTAAATCCAAGTTGCTTATAGTGCAACAGAAACAGTCACTCAACAAATATAGTAAAAATTGCAAATTAAGATGTTTATTATACAAAATAAGAATAAGGTGCTGTGAATGTGCATTAGGGAATCAGGGAAGAAATTTCACTTCTTTAGGGAAGAGAAATTTAAGGTGAGATGTGAAGGATATATAAGAGTTATAAAAACTAAGTGGGGAATAAAAGCATTTTAGGCATGTGGTAAATATTATGTGTAAAAACTATGGGTATATTTAAGAAGTTAAAAGGCCACCATTGTTGGAATGGAGGGAGGGAGAAAATGACTTGAGATAAGCTTGGGGAAGTATGCATGGCCTAAGTATACAGGCCCTTGTGACCATGAAGAAAAGCTTGGATTTTATTCTAAATGTAGTAGAAAACCTTGGAAGGAAGTTAAGCAGGATAGTAAAATAATAATTAACTGAATTCTACTTTAAAAATCACCCAGGTGTGGGGTGCCTAGGTGAGTCAGTTGGTTAAGTGTCCGACTCTGGGTTTCGGCTCAGGTCGTGATCTTGAGGTCATGTGATCAAGCCCCTCATTGGGCTCTGTGCTCAGCAAGTAGTCTGCTTCAGATTCTCTCTCCCTCTCCCTCCTGCTCTCTCTCTCAAATAAATAAATAAAATCTTAAAAAAAAAATCACCCAGGTGTGTGGTATATGACAAGTGAATTTGTGAGCAGCAAGAAAGGAAGGAGGAGAAATCCACTTAGGAAGCTACTGCCATATTGTATATGATAGAAAGTAATAGCTTAAAACTGGAAGGTGGAGAAAAATAGGTGGATTTGAGGGCTTTGCTTTGGGAAACAGCAGAGATTAGCAAGAGTGGTAAAGGCAAAGGAAGAAAAAAGGTGATTTCAAAAGGATGTAGCCCAGGAAGTGGCAGGGTAATGGTAAATCAGATCATGTCACTGCTCTGCTCAGAATGCATGGTTCCCACTTCACTCAGAGTGAAAGCCAAAGTCTTCATGATGGCCCAAACAGTCCTATGGAATCTGGGCCTGTTTCCCCTCTAACTTCATCATTTACTTTTCTACCTCTTGCTCATTCCACTCTAGCCACAGTGGTCACATTTTTCTTCCTTAAACATGCTACACACACTGTTGCCTTAGGGCCTTTGTACTGCTAACTTTGCAAGTCTTTTTTCAAATATCACCTCTCCGGTGACATCTTTCCTGACCATCCTTTGTAAAGTTGCAACTGCCTCACCCCTCACATTGTCAGACCCTCTTATTCTACTCTTCTTTTATCTTCTAACATAATGTATAATTTACCCAGTTACCATGTTTTTTGTCTACTATCCCCTGCTAGAATGTAAGTAAGTTTCATAAGGGTGGGAAATTTTAGTCTTCCCCCCCGCCCGGTATATCTCAAGCACCATGATTGTCACGTAGGAAGTACTAAATATTTCTTGAACAGATAGGAATTGGCATATTATAAAGATTGCATCTCAAACCAGTGGTGAAAAGATAGTTTATTCAATAATTGATGTTGACATTTCTGGGGAGCCATCTGGAAAAAGGTAAAGTTGAATCCATACCTCATACTTTACATTAGGATAGTCCTCAAATGGATCAAAGATTTAAATGTGAAAAATTAAGCCATAAAAATTTTATAAGAGGGGTGCCTGGGCCGCTTCGTGGGTTAAGCGTCAGCCTTTGCCTCAGGTCATGATCCCAGAGTCCTGGGATAAACCCCCACGTCAGGCTTCCTGCTTAGCAGGAAGAATCTGCTTCTCCCTTTCCCTCTGCCCCACCACTGCTCATGCTGGCTTTCTCTCTCTCTCTTTCTCTCACTTTCTCTCTCAAATAAATAAATAAAATCTATAAAAAAAATTATAAGAAAAAAATGGAAGATGTAAGACCAGGCACCATAAAACTCCTAGAAGAAAACAAAGGTGGTAAGCTCCTTGGCATCAGTCTAAGTGATATTTTTTGGGATCTGACTCCAGAAGCAATGGCTACAAAAGCAAAAATAAACAAATGGGACTCCACCAAACCAAAAGGCTTCTGCACAGGGAAAGAAGCCATCAACAAAATAAAACAGGAACCTACTGAGTGGGAAAAGATACCTGCAATCACATATCAGATAAGGGGTTAATACCCAGAACATAGAGAGAACTCATATAGGTCAGTAACAAAAAAAAAAAAATCCAATTTAAAAAATGAGCAGAGGATCTGAATAGACATTTTTTCCAAAGAAGACATACAGACCAATGAAAAGATGCTCGACATCACTAATCATTAGGGAAATGCAAGCCAAAACCACAGTGAGATATTACCTCACACCTGTCAGAATGACTATTATCAAAAAGACAAAAATTAACAAATGTTGGCAAGGCTCTAGAGTTGTTGGTGAGACTACATTAGTGCAGCCACTGTGGAAAACAGTATGGAGGTTGCTCAAAAAATTAAAAATATAACTACCATACAATCCAGCAATTCCACTTCTGGGTATCTATACGAAGAAAACAAAAACACAAATTCAAAAAGATATATGCCCCCCTAGGTTCTTTATAGCATTGTTTATAATAGCCAAGATATGGAATCAAGCTAAATGTCCCTCAGTGGATGAATGGATAAAGAAGATGCAGTGTGTGTGTGTGTGTGTGTGTGTGTGTGTGTGTGTAACAATGGAATACTATTTGGCCATAAAAAGGAATGCAATCTGAGAGAAGTTAAGATGGTGGAGTAGTAGGGGGCTTGCCTCATCCCTGGAACACAGCTAGATCAAATCATTTTGAACAACTAGGAAATCAGTCTGAGGATTAAGAAAACAGTCTGCACAATTGGGGGGAGCAAACATGGGAGGTGCAAGGTTCAGAGCCATGAATTGAGGGAGAGAAAAGCTGTGATGCCACGAAGGTGAGGGAACCCTTTTTGTGGAGCAAAGTCAGGAAGAGGGAGAAAGTGGGAGAGAGAGCAGCATGTAGGGTTCGTACAATCCCAGGTGAGGGGATCCCCTGGGTCGCACTGGAAGAGATCACTCCCCTTCCTGGAGTACATTTGGAAGAGGGTATTTTGCCTCTCTAAGGACAAAGGGCGCACAGGGAGCCAGTGAGCAGCTGTTCAGCAGCAGGGACAAAGAGGCACGGACAGACCTGGTCATAGCTTTTCACTGTGCATCACAATAGACTCCAGCCACTGTGCACACATCATGCGACTGCTTCTCTGGGACAGAACAGTGCCAGGTGCACCGTGAGGCTCTCCTCCAGGGGAGAGGAGCAGGTCAGAGCCTTGTCAGGCCCTTTAAGATTTGAAGTTTTGAATCCCAACCACCAGCCAGAGATAAAACAGGAGAATTGTGACACCTGGCATGCCAACAGCTGGGCACAGACAAGTTGAGGGCAGTAATCTGACCAAAACCTAGAACACAGGAGCTTGTTCCCTTTTCTGTGAGGGCCTCCTGACAGCAGCAGCCCCAAGTTCCCCTCCCCAGACAGAGAGGG